AACCCGCTACCTTAGGTGTACGTGGCTGGCGCCTTAGCCGGTTGAGCTATAGGTGCCGAGCCAACAATACCAATGTTTATTAAACACTTATGTTCTAAGGCAAAGCACTGTTCTATACTGTCTCAATCTCTACATCAATATTATGATTTCACCTATTATCCAGGTTTTGCAAATAAGGAAACTGATACCCACAGAGATGACTTGAGGAAGAAGTGATTTGCCGAGATCACACAGAATTAACACAAGGGAGTCAGGTTCTGAACCCAGAGCCCACACTCCTGACCTCTACTCCACACTGTCCCTGTGTTTTATCCTATATAACAAATCTCCTTTGTTGCTCCCTCTGCCTGAAAACTTCCCCCCCAACACTGAATGCTAAGAGAAGCCCAGCCGTCTTCTCCAAGCAGTATTTCTTGCATATCACCAGCCAGGCTGGGTTAGGTGGTGCCTCTGGGCTTCCTCTATCACAGTGGGAAGGATTTGTTTCCTAAATGGCATGTGGGACCTGTGTCAGCTTTATCCACAGAGCTCAGCACAAAAATCCAGAGCCCTCAGATGTCTGCTGAATGAATGAATGAGGTCAGCTTTCCTCATCATAAAATTCTTAATGCCTGGCACAGTCCCTTCAGCAGAAGGCACTTGCCAATTACTGACTGTGCTAAATGAAAGTTGCCAGTAGCCTTGCTGAGGCTGCTTCCTACACATACTCCCTGACCCAGGCTGGGCTGGCTCCTGCATCCTGAGCTTCTGTGCCATGTTTTCTATCCAGCTCTGGCTTCTCAGAGGAAGTGGCAGAAATATTCAGGCTTTGTGTTAGTTTCCCGCTTTGCTGTCATATAGCAGTGAACCTTAGAGAGCATCACATCTCTCTGAGCTTCAGTTTACTTGTCTGCAAAACATAGGTATTGATATCCGTATCTGCCTCCTTAGCATGCTCCTTTACACTCTCTAAAATGTAAAATGTCAACAAAACAATCTTTCAACAAATTTTTATTGCACTTTCTATGTCATACATATTGTTAAAATTTCAGTCTTCACAGTAACCCTTTGAGGTAGATATTATTAATCCTCATTTTACAGATGAGGGAACTGAGGCTCAGGGAGAGCATGTGACCTACCAGCTGTGCCTGGGGGCCACTTGCAGTCTAGACTTGTGTCATATGCATCTGTCCTCCCACCCACTCAATACCCAGGCTTCCTGCCGGTGACAATTAGCCATGGATTGACCACAGTCCCCCAGCATTTGCCTCTGAAGTAGATGAAGAGCAGATGTTTCCTGAGATGATGGAAAGATCTCTTAAACCTGCTACTGAGATAACACGGAAGAGAAAAGCCCAGTGTCTTACTCTCTGAATTTTTTTCTTTTAAAAAAGATTGAAAGAAGGGTAGCAAGTTTAATCTACTTGAATCTTTATAGGCACTTGTCTTTTTACAAGTTGGAAACTTGAGGGATCCTTGAGGAAAGCCCAAGGGATGAATTTCAGTTCCCAGGTCTCTGACTCAGGAGGCTACCTGAGGGCTCAGTCAGCCCTTAGGGCCAAGGTTAGGCTCAACTCTAGCCCATGGGAGCTGCTCAGCTGCACTCCTCAAAGATGTCCGGGTAGTGTCGAAACAGCACGGGTGGGTCCCGATCACCTCGGACTGGGGCCTGAGGCACAGCCCGGATCCCAGGCCTCCGGCCACGCCGCCCTCCAGAGCAGGAGCGGTGGATCCACTGGTGTGCTTCCACAGCAAACTTCCTCTTGAAGCGCATGCCACACTCAGGGCAGGGAAAGGGCCGCTCACCGGAGTGCATTCGCCGATGGCTGACTAGCAGCGAGGGGTAGGTGAAGCGGCGGCCACAGTCTGTACACACATGTCGCCGCTGGCTGGCCTGAGCATCCACAGTGGGCACAGGGACAGTGGGCTGTGCACCTGTGATCTGGTCCCAGGAAGCTCTTGAGAGTGGCTGTGTTCTTTCCAAGGCCCCAGTAACAGTACAATCAGGGTTGTGTTTAATCAGCTCTTCAGGCTGCTCCTTTCCAGGGGTCTTTCCAGGTTCTTCGGCTCTTGGCTCTTCCTTGGGTTTCTCTTCCTTATTTGGGGTATCTCCTGGGAAACAGGAATTAAGTTATGTTTTATAAACACTACAGACTGTCTCTGGGTATAGGGTGCTTTTCACTTAAGGCAGTGCCAGAAAAGTACTGCCCAGTGACTAACACCCAATCTTTGGATGAAGGTAAACACTGTTTATATCTCTTAAGAGTGACTTATCTGGGCCTTGGTCCCTTATTGTCAAAAAGGAATAATAATGGTTACTTAACAGGGTTATTGGCAGGATTAGTGGAGATGTATGTTAAGCACTTAGTAAATGCTCAGTAAGCAGTAGCTATTACGCATACGGCTTCTCCATTTTTGTAGGGTAAGACTGTTTTACAGATGAGGAAACAGTTGCTCAAGATCACTCCACAGGGGGGTGTTGAAGGGAGGGCAGTCAAACCGTCAATTGTTGGACATTTTCTCTGGTATCACTTGCCTTGCTTGAGGATTGTGAAGGGCAGATCTGAAGGCACTTCCACTCTTAGGGGTGGGTTAGTGGTTTCTGAAAGAGGGAGAATGAGAGGAGCCTCCAAACCTAAGTCTTGGGCTCGGTGCCTGTAGCTCAAGCGGCTAAGGCATCAGCCACTTACACCAGAGATGGCAGGTTTGAACCCAACCCGGGCCTGCCAAACAACAACAACTACAACAAAAAAATTGCCGGGTGTTGTGGTGGATGCCTATAGTCCCAGTTACAAGGATTGAGGCAAGAGAATTATTTAAGCCCAGGAGTTGGAGGTTGCTGTGAGCTGTGATGCCACAGCGCTCTACCCAGGGTGACAGCTTGAGGTTCTGTCTCAAAAAAAAAAAAAAAAAACCTAAGTGTTAGACTTGGGCTCCAGATCTCCTACTCTGGTCTCAACATGAATTGCTATCCCACATTTGGAAAATTTGAAACTGGGCTGCTTTCCTAACTTCTCTAGTATCAACACAAGTTGGTTCTTTAATTTCCTTAGGGATGCTGATGCTGGAAGTGGGGGCCAGAAAGGAAACTAGACAGGAAACCGTGGAGAATCAAGTGTTGGGGGAGACCTGGGACGATCCCTCACCTCTCCGAGCTCCTCCCAGGCTTTCCCCCTCCTCAGGATCCTGGGCGGCGGGGCTCCAAGCCTCGCTCTCCTGTTCCATCCAAGAGATGAGGGCTGGTTTGGGGCCTAGGAATCCTGGGAGAGAACAGGGATCACAGTGCTGGCCTGAGAGGCAGTCCTGGAAAGATGGCATCCCCCTGCCAGGGTGAGGGCACCTCCTCAGAATTTATACTCAATCTGAACCAGGTCTGCAGTGCTTCTGCCTGAATGAAGCGTATGCGGGATGGAAACACTCCCAGGGGGTACCTGAAGCCCCGGGAAGGGGAGGTGGTGAGAGTTGGTGGTGGAATAGTGTGGAATTAGGGCTCACAATCCTCTCTCGGTCCTTCAATCTATATTATCTCCCCTGTGAACCCCGGTGAAGGAGGACAGGGGTCTGACCCGGGGCCTCACCGAGCGCGCCCAGGTGGCCGTAGGTCTCCCGCATCACGTCCCGGTACAAGGCCCTCTGCGCGGGCCGCAGACACCCCCACTCCTCCAGGGAGAAGTACACGGCCACGTCCGCAAACCTCAGAGACCCAGGCTTCCTGCAACCAGGCCGGGTCTCCCCGGGTTTCGGAGCCAGGAGCCGGGCTGGGGGCGGCGCCATGGGGCCTTCCAGCCCCGAGCAGCGGCCGCCTAGTCTCCGAGGCCACCGCCTCCCCGCTCCAGGCCTCAGCTTTCGTTGTCCACTGGAAGGGCTGCCCAGGCCCGGGCCCCGCCCAGCCTTGGCGTCTGAACGTAGTCGAGGGAACAGAAGTAGCAGAAAGGAACTGCTAGAGATACGGGGATTCTGATAGGGACAAATAAAACTCCTTAGTGTTTATTCATTTCATGGCCGCTTGGACATAGACACCCGGGTTAAGCGACCCGGAAGGTGCCTTTAGAAAATATGGCGACAGCCTGGCTTCATTGTCACTGGTTGCTCGTAACAGCGCCTCTCCTTGAGCATACCAAATATGGCGCCTTTCTGGCTACCCTCGCCTCATCATCCCCCTTAGTCCTTAAATGCCCTGTCGAGTGCCTTTGATGGGGATATGCGGACCTTCTGGGAAGTCGGGGAAGAGTTTCTTGCCTTTAAGAAAGATGGACGTGCCCACAGCTTCCTGGACCTTCCTTTGCTCGCAATACAGAGAGGCCGATGATTGGACGTAACCATAGGCAGACGCTGCTCTGTGATTGGCCGCCGATTGGCGGCGTATTTGAAAGGGCCGGTGGTCTTGAAGCCTCTTGCTAGCCTGGAACACAACCAGGACCTCTGCCGTAGGCTTCCCGGGATTGTGTCCCTGGTAGTTTCCCACTGTGCCTCTGGACGACGGCAAGATATGGTATCTGGTCTCCAGGCCCTGCGAGAAGACGTACACACTCCGGCAAACCCGCTGTACAGCTGAGGTAGGAACCAGGTGGATGTTTACTGTTAAGAGCAGAGCCCACCCTACCCTGGACATCTGTGGCTCCGCGCTCTTAGTCTCGGGACCGGAGCTGCAGGCGAAGGAACTTGCTTAGTGAGGATGGATTCAGAATAGGGACATTTAAAATTACATTGTTAATGTTTGCCACATTAATGTGCATAGTTTTAAAAAAGTAATGCATAAGCCTCATAATGAAAAAAGTAGTCCCCCTGTAATCTTTCCTCCTGTTCCTTACTGGCGTCTACTTTTTTTTTTTTTTTTTTTGAGACGGAGCCTCAAGCTATCCTCCTGGGTAGAGTGCTATGGCATCACGCTCACAGCAACCTCCAACTCCTGGGCTCAAGCGAGTCTCCTGCCTCATCCTCCCAAGCAGCTGGGACTACAGGTGCCCGCCACAACGCCCGGCCATTTTTTGGTTGCAGCCATCATTGTTGTTTGGCGGGTCCGGGCTGGGGATTCGAACCCGCCACCTTAGGTGTATGTGGCTGGCGCCTTAGCTGCTTGAGCCACAGGCGTCTACTTTTAACTCCCTTCATTAATTTGCGTTATATTGTACATACAGTAAAATGCACAGATTTTCGATATAAAAAGTCGCCGAGTTTTGGGAAATGTATACACCTGTGTAACCATCACCCAGAACAAGATAGAGGACATGGATGTCACCTGTTAATGTTTCCTTGTGCACCCTTCCAGTCGGTATCTTTTATTGTGGTAAAATACTCGAAAATAGAATGACCATTTTAGTTTATTCCCATTTGGTTTGTTTTTTTTTGTTTTGTTTTGTTTTTTGAGACAGAGTCTTACTATGTTGCCCTCAGTAGAATGCTGTGGCATCACAGCTCACAGCAACCTCAAACTCCTGGGCTTAAGTGATTCTCTTGCCTCAGCCTCCCAAATAGCTGGGCCTACAAGCACCGGCCACAATGCCTGGCTATTTTTTTGTTGCAACTGTTATTGTTGTTTAGCAGGCCTGAGCTAGGTTCGAAATCTCCTGCCTCCCTGTATGTGGCTGGCACCCCAACCACTGAGTTGTGGGTGCCAAGCCAAATTTTTCTATTTTTAGTAGAGACAAGTTTTCACTCTTACTCAGGCTGATCTCGAATCCTAAGTTCAAGCAATCCTCCCTCTTAAGCCTCCCAGAGTGCTAGGATTACAGGCATGAGCCACTGGGCCCAGCTACATTTATCATTTGTGTTGAGCAGATTTCCAGTCCTCTTTTAGTTATCTTCAAATACACAAAACGTTGTTAACTACATTCACCAAACATTATAACTCATCTATCAAACATTAGAATTCTTTCCTTTTATCTAACTGTATGTTTATGCCCATCAACCAACCTCTCTTCATTCCCTCTTCTCCCCACCCCCTTCCCAGTCTCTGGTATCTATAATCTCACTCCGGCTCTATGAAACCAACTTTTTAGCTCCCATAAGAGTGAGGACATATGATTCTTGTCTTTCTGTGTCTGGTTTCTTTCCATTAATATGATAACCTTCATCATTTCCATTCAGGTTGCTGCAAAAGACATGATTTCATTCTTTTTTTATGGCTGAATAGCATTCAATTGTGTATATATACCACATTTTCTTTATCTGTTCGTCCACTGATAAACATTTAGGTTGATTCCATCTCTTTGTTATTGTGAATAGTGCTACAATAAGCATGGGGCTGTAAGTATCTTTTTTTTTTTTTTGGTAGAGACAATCTCACTTTATCACCCTCAATAGAGTGCCATGGCGTCACACAGCTCACAGCAACCTCCAGCTCCTGAGCTTAGGCAATTCTCTTGCCTCAGCCTCCCTAGTAGCTGGGACTACAGGCGCCTACCACAATGCTTGGTTATTTTTTTGTTGCAGTTTGGCCAGGACCGGGTATGTACCTGCCACCCTCAGAATATGGGGCCAGCGCCCTACCCACTGTGCCACAGGCACTGCCCAGAGCTGTATCTTTTTGATTTCTTCTCCTTTCCATAAATGCCCAGCACCTGAATTGCTGAATCCCATGGTAGTTTTAGTTTTTTGAAAAATCTCCATACTGTTTTTCATAGTGGCTGTGCCAATTTACATTCCCACCAACAGTGTATAATAATTCACTTTTCTCTGCATCCTTGCCAGCATCTTCTATTTTTGTCTTTTTTTTTTTATTGTTGGGGATTCATAGAGGGTACAAGAAACCAGGTTACATTGATTGCATTTGTTAGGTAAAGTCCCTCTTATATTTTTGTCTTTTTAATAACAATCATTCTAACTGGAGTAAAATGGTATCTTACCTGGTTTTGATTTTCATTCGCTGATTATTAGTGATAATGAGCATTTTTCATGTACCTGCTGGCCACATGTATGTCTTTTGAGTCTCTTTTTAAATAGAGCATTAACTTTAACTAAAAAGATACTATGAAGCATTTCACCCAAACCAAAAAATATTTTTGTTTCTTTAGGTACTAATGTTGTAAATTACTTCTTTGTGGACTAAGAATGGAGAAGACTTAAGACAGCAGTTCTCAACCTGTGGGTCACGACCCCTATGGGGGTTGAATGACCCTTTCACAGGGGTTGCCTAAATACATTCTGCATATCAGATATTTACATTACGATTCATAACAGTAGCAAAATTACAGTTATGAAGTAGCAACGAAAATAATTTTATGGTTGGGGGTCACCACAACATGAGGAACTGTATATTAAAGGGTTGCAGCATTAGGAAGGTTGAGAAACACTGACTTAAGAGGATGGAGCTTAAAAATAAATTTGGCTAAATAATTGGATTGAAACAAAATTTCAAGTCAGACTAAAACTATTTCATCATAAATGGCTGAAGAGAGGTGGCCAAGAGAGGTGGCTTGGTCTGTGGCCAAGAGAGGTGGCTCATACCTGCAATCCTAGCACTCTGGGAGGCCAAGGCAAGTGGATTGCTTGAGCTTAGGAGTTTGAGACCAGCTGAGCAAGAGTGAGACCTGGTTTCTACTAAAAAAAGAAAAAACTAGCTGGATGTTATGGTGGGCACCTGTAATCCTGGCTACTTGGAAGGCTGAGGTAAGAGGATCACTTAAGTCCGAGAGTTTGAGGTTGCTGTGAGCTGTGATGCCAGGGCAATAGAGTGAGACTCTGTCTCCCTCAGAATAAACAAACAAACAAATGGTTGATGTCATGTTGTTTTTCCTGCCTTTTTTTTTTTTTTTTTGAGATAGAGCTTCAACCTGTTACCCTGGGTAGTGTGTTGTGCCATCACAGCTCACAGCAACCTCCAACTCCTGGGCTCAAGTGATTGTCTTGCCTCAGCTTCCCACAACACCCAGCTATTATTTTGGTTGCAGCCATTATTGTTTGGCAGGCCCAGGCTGGATTCGAACCTGCCAGCTCTGGTGTATGTGGCTCGCACCTTAGCTACTTGAACCACAGGTGCCAAGCCTTTCCTGCCATTTATTATAAAAATAAGCAGATGCGACTGGCCACTCTGGGAGGCCAAGGCAGGTGGATCGCTTGAGCTCATGAGTTCAAGACCAGCCAGAGCAAGAGTGAGACCCCCATCTCTTAAAAAAAAAAAAAAAGCCAGGTATTGTGGCAGGCGCCTGAATCAGTTGAGCCCAAGAGTTTGAAGTTGCTGTGAGCTATGATGCCATGGCACTCTACCTACCAGGGACAACAAAGTGAGATTCTGTCTTAAATAAAAAAGAAACAAATGATTTTTCTTTCAAGTTGTTTTATTGCCCATCAAATTGTAAATGGTTGTTCAAGACTTGTTCAGATAATTATGAGAAGTCATAAAATATACAGGGGATATTTGTGGTTCATAAATGTTACTTGTCAATAAAAGGATGCAACTGAACTTTAAGTGACAACTAAAGTTTCTTGTGCAAAGCTCAGCCTTCACCTGAAGTGTTTGGGAGTAAATTGTAATGATGCGTGGTGTGTAACTTACTTTGAAATACATTAGAGAAAATAAAATGGCAGGGCATGGTGGTTCATACCTGTAATTCTGGCATTTTAGGAGGCTGAGGCCAGAGGTTCAAGACCAGCTTGGGCAACCCTCTCTATAAAAAATAGAAAAATTAGGCTTGGCACCTGTGGCTCAGGTGGCTAAGGCGCCAGCCACATACACTTGAGCTGGCAGGTTCCAATCCAGCCTGGGCCCACCAAACAACGATGGCTCCAACCAAAAAATAGCTGGGCATTGTGGTGGGTGACTGTAGTCCCAGCTACTTGGGAGGTGGAGGCAGGACAGTTGCTTGAGCCCAGGAGTTGGAGGTTGCTGTGAACTGTGATGCCATAGCACTCCACCCAGGGAGACAGCTTGAGGCTCTGTCTCAAAGAAAAAAAAAAGAAAGAAAAATTAGCTATGCATGGTGACATGTGCCTGTAGTCCAAGCTAC